GATGGCAAAGCCCCCGTTCGAATCGCTCGATGCGGTGAGATTTTTTTTCTGCGTGACATCCCGGGGCGGCCTCGGGACGGCAGGTGCAGGTACAGGTGCTCTTGCTGCATCTTTGGCAGAGCTGCGCGGAAGGGGGCTTGCCCCCGCTGTGCCGAACTCTGCCTTTTCTGCAGTCCCTGGGGGAGAACGATCGCGTTGCGATGACTGGGAAGATGCAGAGCGAGATTCGTCAATAATTCCCGTATCCTCTGTAAAGAGTCGTCCACGACATCATTTTTTTTTTTCTTTCCGCTCAATGTGCTGGGAGGGGGTTGCTAGAGGAGATTGTCGGGGTTTCTGATTCTTCCGTTTAAACGAACGGGGGCTCGAGGGAAGCAAAACGTCCTCAGTTCCCGAGGTGTTTTCTTCCTTTCCTTTCTTTCTCCTCGAGGAGCCTGAATAGTAGACAAGCATGTGAAGTCCCTTGCCTCCTATTTAATTTCCCTCACGATACGATCGAGCAACGCTAGTTAGCGTTGGCGATGCTGACCGGCCGAACGCGGAGGCTGCTGGTGTGAGGTGCTTTACCAACCCGTGTGCGGGCTTAGGGCTTCGCTGGCAGCAGCGTACGGATTCTGACAGCGCGGAAGCCGAGGACGGAGCGTTGAAGGCCCTCGGGCGTGTCAGCTGTTCGAAATACAGATTGTTTTAACCTTCGCTTTTGCTTCTAGTTTCCCATCTCTTTGTATGGCGGTGGGGAAAAGGGAATTACTGGTGATGTAAATTCACCTTGCCTAATTTAGTCTCGGTTATGTCTAACTAGCTAGCTGATGTATTTTACTCTGTTTTTCTTTATGGTGGAGTGTTGAAGAGGGAAAGCACATTCGAAGAACATGCTTAGAGTGGCTTGATACGGGGTGGTGCCCGTGAAGCACTCCCGTTGCAGTTTCCTCCTCTTATTTTTCTCCAAAATGGGCTTGATCTTTGTGGAGGTGTTACTGGAAGCAAAGTAGCAAGTAGTAGCTGCTGGAAAATGTGTTCATGAGTCCATGTTGCACTTCTTGCTCAGAAACCTCCACTTTTTTTTTGGTAGCATGAGGCGAAAGAGTTGGTTAGTGTAGAAAAGCAAGAAAACACGTTTGAACAACCTCTTTTCTCACGCTGTGTTCTACGCTACTGCGTCTCTTTGCATCGTACATCATGCTTATTTCCACATCCATGTGCTTTCAAAAGGGCAAGAGCCACGCAAGGGTTGGCACCCGATGGTAATTATCACTGGAGTTTAAAGGATAAGCCAGTACTAGTCAAGTCAGCACTGGCATTCTAGGGCTTGATCTGAAGGCCGCTACGGGTGATAAGAAGCACTCCATCGACCTGGATAGAGATTTTCTTTTTTTTTTTTCTTTTGGATCAGCTCCCTAGCTGCCCATCTGGGTTATTAGTGTCTCTGGATTCCAGCAGTGTGTCTTGGTAACGATTCCTGAACTTGTTTCTAAGCATTTAAAAATAAAAATTAAAAAAAAAAAAAATCATCTTACCCGTCTCTTCTTTTGCTAAAAACCAGTGAAAGCCAAGTATGGTTTTATGATACATCTTGCGTATGGTTTTGTCAGATAGCTGCAAGCCAATGAAGCAATCTGCTTACCCTAGCAAGCCGTGGGTAATTCAGATTATTCAGGTCTGGATACGATCCTTGGCTCGCCTTTTCAGTCTGCGCGTTAAGCTACGCTGATACGGTCAATAAATTACCACTTCTGATGCTGCTCGGGTGTTCTGAGTGTAATTAGACCCCTCCTAGGCCTGCTACATTTGTAACTCCAGAGAAATAAGAAAAGCCTCTTGTTACTGCATGGCCTCCTCTCCCACCGAGTGATTTACTCTAGTACCTGTATGGCCGCGTGGACCCAAACTCCGTAATGGGTTTAAACAGCCAAAAGAGCAGAATTTTAGGTGATTTTCCTGTCTTGCTCTCCGGCAGCTTAAATCAGGGGTGGCTTGGCTGTAATCTGTAGTCATATGGATGCAAGACTGGAGTCGCCTTAATCCATTTCAGAAGCAGCGGGAGCGGACCCAGTTTCTAACGCTTTCTGAATCGCTTTTTTTGTGAAGGTTCTGAATGTAGATCATGGCAAGTCCATGACTGGAAAAGAAAAAGGTGACTGTCGGACCATAATGCTTTGGAGGAATAAATACCGGCTAGTTTACTAAATTCTGTGTTAGTGGGTGGCTTTAGTCTCGTGCTGTCAACTGTTCTGTGAGCTTTGTATTTGGGTCTTTTTAATTGGTATCACTTAGGCGTAGAGCAGGAGCAGCTATCTCATATAGTAAACAAAGCAGCAGATTTAAGTTAATGCTAATGTGTTGGCAGTCTGAGCCGAAAGCTTTTCAGGGTTATTATAACGTGCTGGGCATACAGCCCATCTATCTGAGTGTCTGAGTGAGACAAAAGTTATAGATTGACTGATTGTACAAATCAACTCATCCGAAAGTCGGATTCTGCTGTCTGTTGCCATCAGTAATTTAGCCGTATTAAGTACGGCTGAGGACGGATGGCGGCGTGGCCGGAATATTGAGATGGGATTGCTGAGATCCCGGGAGCCATTGCCTGCATCGCCGCAGGTCGCCTGTGTGACCTGGGGCGAGTCATTAAATGTTTCGGTAAAACAGGGTCGGTGATGCTTCCTTCCTTTTCACAGGGCGCTGTGAAGATTAATGCGTTATGACCGTTTATGAGGGGACCGTATCAATACAATATCAAACGAAACGTTTGAAGAGGCTGCCCAGGGAAGTGGTTGGGTCCCCATCCCTGGAGGTATTTAAAAGACGAGTAGATGAGGCGCTTAGGGACATGGTTTAGTGGACATGGTGGTGTTGGGTTGACGGTTGGACTCGATGATCTTAGAGGTCTTTTCCAACCTCAATGATTCTATGATTCTATGATTCTAAGAGCGTGTGCCCCACACATAACTAGATAATACGTGCTTTGTAAAGCTATCCTACAAAGGTGCTCCGTACTATAATATACTGGCGTGTAAGCATGCACAGCTAAAGGGGCCAAGTCTTAATTTTGGTGGTAAATCCTGAATATTGATTTGGGGCAACTGTGAGAAGAGCCTTTGTTCATGGTTAATTACGAACTCGTATTCGCAGACCATTCCGGTTGTTAAACGTGACCTTGAATTTTGTTGTGTCTTAACAGTGACGAGAGAACGCAGACTCTGACGAGGACTTAAATACGTAATTCCTATGCATTGGGGATAATGGCATGCGAACTTCTCCTCCTGTGACTGCTGCTATTGTAATCTAAAATTATTTAGGCATTTAAGTTTTGAAAGATTTAACTCCTGAAAGTAGTTCAGGCCCATGCATTTGGAGCGCTCGACCAAGTGGAAGGAGTTGGGTTATCTTGAACGATATAAACTCTGATATTCAAATTAATACGTATATATAAAGTTACATTTTTAAGCTTCATAACCTCAGCCCTTCTCTCGGAGAATAAACTGACAAGATAGCGTAGATCTGTGGGACATCTGTCCGCTTGGAAGCGAAATATTTGCGTTTCCATAGAACGACTTTATCGAGGCTGGTTAATTACACAGAGCAGAAAGTTCTTAAACTCCGTGCAGCAACTTTTAATTAAAAGTTAGGCCTCCTAAATGGATCACGATGCACAGCAATTAGTCGTAGACTGTTTAAGATATTTTTCCTTGGTATCTTATATCTAACGTCGTCTTATAAAGGGTGCTAGGGTTTTACGGTCATACAGAACGCACACCCGTGTTGTAAACGTGATTCTGTTGCTTTTTTTTTTTTACCCATTGCTTTTCAAGGTGTATTCCCACCTGTGTCACAAAGCTCGGCGGTGTTGGCTGTGCGGCTGCTGCAGAGGGAAACCTCACGCTTGGAGCGTTAAGGCGTGCTGGGCGTTTCGAGCGGGACGCGGGATGGACGCGGTACCGTCTGCGTGACTGCGTCGCGCTCTTGAAGTACGGTTCCAGCCCCAGGGAGCGCGGCGGGGCGCCCAGCCGTACCAGCCTCTCGCGGTGCTGCTGGCTCGTTGGTGTCTTCCCCTCCTGATGGGCCTGAACCGTGTCCCCCCTCAGCCACGTCTGCTAACGCTCTCATCCGGAATGGGTTTAGTTTTTGATGGGTTCTGTTTGAAAGAGCATCAGTAGCTTGTGTATTTGGAGCTCGATGCTTTGCCTTGGCTAGCTATGCTGTTTCGGCACCTGTTCTACTTCCAGAGACGATCTTTTGCCTTCCCCACCCCCCTGACATCTCTTCTCCATCCCACCTTCAACCTTTGCGGCGAAACTAGAAGCTGAGGCTTGTCACTTGACTGCCTTCCCGTGCCATTTCATTGACCTTCGTCTGGGCCCATAGGTTAAGTTTTAGGGACGCGTCTATCGTTTGTTTTGTTTTAGGTTGCAGAAGTCTTCTCTCATTAAATCACTTGACTGCCTTCCCGTGCCATTTCATTGACCTTCGTCTGGGCCCACAGGTTAAATTTTAGGGACATGTCTATCGTTTGTTTTGTTTTAGGTTGCAGAAGTCGTTCTCTCATTGAACTAGTGGCCTGAAAATGCTTCCTCACGTGGTTTCTCATTTCAACTTATTTTGGAACATCTCCATCCTCTGCCCGCCCCCCTCCCCCCTCCCTGCACACGTACATATATATGTAAAATAGAAAACTTGATTCACGGTCTCTTAGCTCACTCTGAAAATTCGTTTTGGGAAGTAAGGGGGAGAGAATTTTTTAAAACAAGGAATGTATCTCTTCTAAAAAAAAAAAGAAAAGGCACTTAATTTTGAACATTTTCTACAAAAATTCAGAAGTCCTGAAACCCTTGGTTATCAAGATGACTATTCTGAATCTAAAGCCATTTTTCATGTGTTAAGAAAAGCGTAAGATGATGATCCCTTAGGTTTTCTCTTGACCTATGGTACGCTGATTCAACACACGTTGCTAAAAATAGCTGAGCTCTAGCGTGACTTTCATTTTGCGGCTCAGCACAGGTTTGAGGTTGTACCAGTCCTGTTCCAGTTCTTGAGCTTCGTTGATGGCGGTATGGGTTTTTTTTTAACTTGCATAAGAAACATCTCCGCTAAGTATTTTACCATCTGCTATTTGAAGTTCTGCAGAGAGAACTTAACGCTGTTTCTTCTTGGATTTTCTGGGAAAAGGCGTAGGGCAGTGGTGAGACTTGAACACATGCAGATTACTTAAAAATAAATCAGTTATGGCTTACCGTTATAATCTACCCAGAGGGAAACCACAAAATGAGCTGCAAAGGAATTTTGCCTATTGTGCCTTACACAGAAAATGTAGTTTTCAGGATGGTTTTGATATTAAACAGGAAGCACCTACTTATAAGAGCTCCTATTTCTGTTTATTTCTTGAACAGAAAGTTGGTGACTACTAGGAATAAGTATTTATCAATTTTCAAAAGGATGACTTGATTCAAGAGTTGGGTTTTTGTAGGCAAGGGAAATCAGTGTTATGATTTGAGCTGCAGTAACCGTGGCATTATGGGCTCTTTTCATTGCTCGGTCTTTTTGAATAGTGGCGGCGACTTAAAATCTTCATTGCCTGCAGTTATTTATACGTCTGTGCTCTGACCTGCGGAACAGCTGGGCTGATTTCATACGGTGGTTTGCTTCGTGCTTCCGATCTGACGATCGGAAAGACAGAAAGGTACAACCGATCCTACGGGACGGAGCTCTGCGCTCCGCGGCCAGCTGCTGCCTCTCGCGTATCCGTGCTGAAATTCTCCTTGCTGCGTGAAGCACGGCCGCCGCTGGGTGTTCTGCGTGCTTCCTCACTGTCACCTGCGGGAGCGAAGGGTGCTGGATGGAACCGCTGAAGTCCGTGCTGCAGGGACCACTTGTAGGTCGCCTGCCTGGAAAGGAAGATGTCAGTTAGGAGGCCTTCCAGGATACTCCTCCAGCTCTTATGGAAGTGCTGCTTTGATTCGGAGAGACATCAGAAATCTTTATATATACAATTAAACCCATTAATCAAAGCGCTTCTTGCACTGGTGAGACTTGTCTCAGTAAGTCATCTTCACTGGCTCCCTCCTTTGTTCTTTCATTGCCCTGAGCGCTCGCCGCTCCCAGGCCTTCGCACGCTGTCGGCTTCCTACAGTTGACGCCATTAGGTTCTTGGCTACACATTGTTTAGGAAGATAAAGCATTTCAGCTGTGTCTTCCCC